TTAATGAAATGCTTTATCACGCCTCCATTCAGAAAGTAGAGGAAAGTTATGAGACCAGGAGGCGAAAGCTAGTTAAGTTCATAGAAATTAATTCTAGGTAAGACTGACAATTGAAAAATATTCCTGATTTCTTTCTATTGTGTAAAAAGAAGATAATACAGGAGAGATATCACATATGTTTAGCAGACAATTGGTCAAAGGACCAGCGTCACTTGTCACATTGACGAGCTGTAGTTTTGTGCTGGGAATGGCAAGAATCACTCACGATGCCGGCGAATCGTCTGAGAATGCACCAAATCCATGATCCGGCTCTTGTAAATATAATAGCTACTAAAGCAGAGGACTTTTGATAAGGCTCGTCTAAGTCGCCATTACAACACGATCAAGTTTCGCAAACGAAAGGAGAATGCAACCAAAATATAAGCCACAACACCTTGGTCTTCGTATCTAATTAAAAGTATAAATTCTTATAGGCCAAATGAGATTATATAAGAGATGGATGAACAAGATTTCCGATATGATCAAATTACATAAAAATATATGTGTATAATAATGTGAAAAACAGGATTATAAGTGAGAAAAATAATAATGTTGGTAAAAAGACATTAGCTTTACCCGAGATCAGCTCCTGGATGCTGGGGAAATCAGTTTCAAGTTGCTCTATCGGCTGAGTTAGTTTACGGAGGTTTTCCAAATGAGGAGAAATAGCGTCATGGAGCTGCTGATTGGAAAGATTGGCTTCAGCCAATGTGACAGAAATTTGTTGATGATTTTCGATCAAGCCAGACAGTCGACCCTGCAACACGGTAGCCGCATCACGCACAGATTCCAGGCTGGACTCGGCAAGTTCCGGGGGTAATTTGGTAGAGAGAGGTACTTTCTAAAAATATTAAAAATTCATTTAATTGCGAAAAACGTAAACAAAATCACAAGAGCATTGTAAGTGGGAGGCACATAAAGGCATTAATCTTGCAATAAATTCCACTAACCCCCAGTGCAACTAAATCAGACCAAAGTTGTTTGGTCTTGGCCAAATTGGCAGAAACACATTAATACGAAAAAAAACAAGAATAGCAACTTTGCCATGAGCCAGACAAGCCCTAAATTATGCAGCAATCTTGCAAATAGAGTCAGCAAACTAATGTAAATATATGTGCAGGCATATTTACACATGGTTAAATAATACATACACCATAAGAGGTTTGTAAACAAATATTCCTTAAAATATGTTTATATACATGGAAATAATATCAGACATTATGTGAGCAACACAAGTTATTTTATAGTTAAGATAATAAATATAAAAGGAAATTATTAAAGGCAATTGGAAGATGACGAGGCCAGTGCCACCTTGTAAAAGCAGTGATGTAAAGACTATCAAAGATCCTGTTGTAAGGAGTAAATTAAAATCTTTTATAGAAATTCCTTTAGTAAATGAAGGTTGATTTGTAAAAGGAAAAGGATATGAAAATAAATAATTAAGTGAAAATTAAATTCCTAAAGCTAAAATGAACTTGAAAAAATATATGAGGAAAAAATACTTACTAGAAGTTCTAGGATACTCTTGTTTACAGATTCCAACTGCTTTTCAATTTCGCCAGCTTCACACTCCACATCGACCGTTACACTGATAAGATCTAAGAGTTATCAAAATATAATGCAATTTCTACATACGATTTTCGAAAGTAATGAGTGAGATAGTATTTTAGGAATGCAATTATTATTATTATTATTGTTGTTGCTATCGTAACATTATACACCATACCAACTACAAACGAATCGAATCTAAAAGCAAACACACAGATGTATGGTGGCAAAAAATCCTCAACATTGAAAAGTACTTAAACAACGCTTTGTCACGAATGTAATATATAATCTAAAGCTTTTGTCATATAGGCTAAGTTAAGTTGTCGAGTCATAACAATTTAGGAAGTGTGTTCAATCTATTTCGATTAAAGTGATAAAGGATTGGTAGCTGAATCTTACATGATTGCTATAATTAGGCTTTCAGATTCTATTAAATTTCAAATAGACTTGCTCCCCGAAAAATCGACCTCTCCTAAGTTTCATTCACACACACCCCCAAGTAAATCTATATGAACTTTAATAGAAACGTTAGACCTACACACACCATTATGAATAAATTTGATTACCAATCATAAATTACCTTAAACGAAATAGAATGAACATAGTTCTTATTTGAGATTTACTGGTAATCCTAAGCATATATAAAAATGAAAATAATAACAATTTAGATATGTTTCGTAATGCACTGGCAAAAAGACTCTCTATAATAAACAGAAAAGAATGTAAGATTTTGTTCAAAGGATCTTATTTTGCCTTAAATATCAAAACATCTTTGCTTTCTGCAGATAGGATGGACTGAAATTTCACCTTTGAAGATATCTCAATAACAACTAAACCAGTACTCGAACCGTGAACATGCGAGTTAAGAATAAAAAATTATATACCTTAGATATACAAGCATATATGAACTATATTATAACTCCAAAGATATGAAGAAAAAATCGGTTCAGAAGAATTCCTTAGTGATATGTGACATGACATTCCATTTTAAAGGAAAATTTGGTAGGAATGAATTCGTGAAATGGTCTCAGCAGAATATTTGATTGCACGCAGAAGTCCTTGACTCTTGGCCTATCATATTTTGTGCGTTATTTCGTAAAGGATGCATTCTTGTTCTGATAGTACCTATCACGATACCGACGAAAGCTTAGTACATGTTCATCAGAGTCTCAGAGCGGTTAGCAAAAGACTTCTTTGCACAATCCGGCAGTATTCATTTCGCAGCAATCTTCCTTGGTTTTACGGCTGGACCATTTCACGAATTCGAAAATGGAAAATCATGGCACAACGTATTCACTATACTTCGTTTAAGGTGATGAAGAAGTGGTAATTGAATTTACCACAATGAACTAGCTTTTATGCTTCTATTAAAACTGGACTATAGTTTAGACTGCCTAGATCTCATCAATACCCACACCAGGACTCGAATCCGGGCAGTGTAGCGTACAGTCCCAACATATTAACTAATTTACCAGAGTGCCCTTGGTAAAAACAGTGTAGAAGTGAATTTCAAGAAAGTCTAAGCCCTTTCAATTAGCATTTTTAGAGTGATATTGTCGACGAAGTAAAGTTGTGTTCGCTATAGCAATCGACTAAATTACCCATTTTATGCGTATAATTAGGTTTCCGAGTCTACCAGTGTAGCGTGGTCGTTGACGTATCGAGACTATACGCTAACTGCCACAATCTGGTTTAAGTCCAGCTGGTGGTGAAGATAAGACATAGGCGAGATCAAAACTGCAGTCTATTCTGGATGAAAATACCTTTTAGAAAGCAAGGCTATTTGAAATTGGATGTAAGCATGAGGCTTAGATAGATCATTGAGCTAAATTATACTACCAGTCCTTCATCACCGTAAAGCAAATAGTAAATACATCTCTTATATCAGATCTACTGAAAGTCTCGAAAGCCTACTTATAAACGGCAAATAGGACAAGCATAACTTAGCAAACCTATATGTGGATGAAACTCTAGTCAAGCTTGGATGAGAATGACCTTGGTATAAGCGTAACATAAAATTTATTTAAAAAATCAAATCTCGGATTCATTACAGGCAGACTTAAAATCTATCTAATAAGTTGGCTAGTCATAACTTGTATAGAGTTTATAAAGTGTATAAGGGGTAACATTTCTGACTCAACCGATGATTTCGTCGCATAAATATCATATGATTATAATAAAGAAAGTTTTGGATTCCATTAACTACAAGGCTTTTCAAATAAACTTATTAGGGAAGTAAAAGATATGCATAAAATTATTTTCGATATATTTAGTTTTTGCGACTCAGTAATTCTTAAATAAAAACAGTAAGCCTAAGCCACTTAAAGTGATTTAAGGATGAGTAGTTAATTTTTTTTCAAAATGATACAATAAGCCTCACGATGTCAATGAATTACAACTAGCCTCTAATAACCATTTTAGATCACCTTAGGCAACTTAGGGTGACCAGGCTCGTATACTTAAGCATATATTATAAATGAATAAACCACGCCTAAAACCAAGACCAAACTATCCTGGTCGTCATAACTTCGATGGAATCATTGAAAAAGAATTGATGAACGATTCACTGATTGCAGCCAGGCTAAGATCTTGTAACTAGGAAAAGATGTCCTGGAAGCAGAGCGGATACGGAAGAATACGTTAACACGACTGATCAACCTGACAATAAGGACCACATAATTTACATTCAAAGCAATATACGCGTGCAAATATTTGGACTATCTATGAGATCTCTACTCACACCTATTTTGGCAAATGCATACGTTGACATATTGGGAAAGGAATTCGAGAAGTCACTACTGCAACCGAGACTGCTCATGCGATAGCTGGATGATTGTGGTCGCATGGGAAGGAAAATTTAGATGAATTCCTGAACTTTATGAACAGACTTGGATAAGAATTGAATTCACAAGGAAAGTGGAGGATGAGCGACTAGCTGTTAAGGACATTCGCTCCAACGGAAAATTTAAGAAAATATAAGTGAAAATATAAGAGCAGATGGTAACTTGAATATTAGTAAAATAAAAAAAGGAATAAGAAAGCAGACCAAAAGTGGGCATTTCTGCCCTGCAAAAACATCTACTGATGTTAAGGTGAAGAATATCTAGGTGATCAGGAAGAAGATAACCATCTTCACGAGCTGTCCGAAGCAATATGAGATGGATAGATTATATTGCTCAAAAGTTTTTTCATAGAATGCAACGACTGCATTAGAGAAAAGGTAGTAAAATCAGCCTAAGAATTGATACAGAAATACTGAAAATAGGGAAGCACATTGCACAGATGTGACGAGCTAGCTGCATGTCGCACAAAGATAATAAAACGCAAGATTTAAGAGGCCATAGATAGTTTGACTGAAAAATAATAGATCGGAAGAAAACGAAATCAACTAAAACTTTTCCTATTGATCAAATAAACTCGGAGATCAGGAAGCAGCCAGATTAAAGAGAAAGGACTAGATCTAGAAAATATTTAAAAAAAACAGGAATCTCAGGGAATGGGCGTTCGAGGGACAATCGGAAATCAATCTGAGGCATTTGGAAGTTGGCGTTAGGAAATAGGGAAGTTATAAATGCGGCATCACGGAGAAAAGCACGGGGTCAATCGGACTGGAAATGCATTAGAGAGATGCAGCTGAGAACAGAGCAGGATGGCTCATGGTCCACTGGCCTGATTATATAAATAGTCGTTTGTCCACCACATTTGCGAGTACACAAGCAAGACAGGTGAGACTATAGTGTTCAATTATTCTTTTATCCAGCTTGAGAATCCAGGATTTGGGGACCTTTGCGATACATGCTATCAAACGCTTGAGGCGGATAATTGAATATAACATCTTGAGTAGCACAGATTTGGTGGAAATGGTCAAGTGAAATCACTGAACTGAGGAGAGAATAGACGGGTTTTAATGGGCAAAAGGGAGACTTTGATGGGAGCTGAATGAATTAGATTGCAGAATAATAAGATCAGGCCGGATTTACATTCATAGTACGAGGGAATTAGTGCGGAGCGTGAATAAGCCACACTAAATACAATCAAACTGGCACATCTCAGGGATAGATTAAAGCAATTTCTTTTGCCAGTAATAGTCAAGTGGGAGATGTGAAGAGACTAGATAGATAAATGTATCCAGGTAAAGGGAGATACCAAAACTCTGCAGCACAATATTGGTGATGAAGTGCAGTTTGTTGCTGAAACTTATAGTGTTCATTGATAATGTAGCTGTAACGTCTGGGAATGTGCCAGGTCCACGATCTGACGCTGGAATTTACCATGGCTGTTATAGCTGAGGACTCCAGACAGGATGCACAAACCTAGGACTCTGGAAATACTAACACCAAGCAATGCGACAACAAAGTCAATTCTAAACAACGAAGGGAGACCGCGACGACATCAACTTGGTTGGGCCTCCATTAAGCCGTTCCCAAGATGAAAAACTTAAAATTTCTATTATTAAAAGTATGAGATGTGACTATGTTGAAACATACTATTGCCATTTTTCATCGAAAATATCAGGTATTGAATAAGCATGTCATGAGTAGTGCAATATATATCGGTTATAAAACATCGGTACCAATATTCCTGATTAAGGAAAAATATAAAACTA